AATACCATATGTTTGCACGTATAGGAGGATTAGGAGGAACTTGACGGAGGACCAAGGGGGAGAAGAAGGGCGGAAATGGTGGGGGAAAGGGAGAGAGGCAAACCATGAGAGACTCTTGAATGCTGACAAAAACTGAGGACTGATGGATGTGGGGGGGAGGGGGGGAAGGGCATGAAGGAGGGCACTTTGGGGATGAGCACTGAGTGTTATGTAGAAACTAATTTGACAATAAACTATTTGTAAAAAAAAAAAAAAAAAAAAAAAAACAATTCATGCCAGCAAATCTGGTTCTGCTTAAAATGACAGCTATCCATGGCCAAGTTACTGACAGCCCTCCTCCCATCCATGAGGACACACACCCCACTCTCAAAAAGCAGGAACAGCTTACCCATGCCTCCATGCCTGCCCCTGACACCTCCCCTCCCAACTGGGGACCTTCTGTGGATGCTCACCTCAAGGCAGGGCTGTGGGCAGATGTCCTGGTGGCTTCTAAACCCCTCCTGGAAAGGAACGACCCACAGAAAGGGCCCCTTCAGGACCTCTGCTCATGGAGTCCAAAATGCCCTCCCCAAGGAGAGGTGGCAAACCGACCGACAGCAGCAGGTTGGGGTGACCCAGCGGAACCGGCCAGCACAAACAGAAGTGGCCTGGGGAAGAAGGAGGGCTCAGGGCCAGCCAGACATGGAAACACCCAAGGCCGGGAGCACATGCCCAGAGGTTGCCGCCCTGGGACAGACTTCAGGGTACAGCGGGGTCACTGAGGTACGTGTCATAGGTGCCAATTCAGCCAAATGTCGGAGTGGCTGAGCCCTGAGAAACCAGAGTCACTTCCCAAGGAAGCCCACTTTTCCTCAGGAAGTCACCCACTGCTGTCTTGGAGGCCTGATCACCCCTAGCAGAGCATCAAAACCAGAGTGACTGCTTATCAGAAACCAAATAAATACAAACTTCCTCGGGGAGAAGGAAACCAGCTGGGGCTGTGGTGACGGAATAGCTTTGAAGGCAGGCAGCCTGGCTTCCACCCAGAGATTACTACTTGGCCTTGGACAAGCTGTTCCAAGCCTGGGCTTCCTCGGTCCTCAAACAAGGGTTAATAACAGCATCTACCCCAGGCCTGTGGTGGTGCCTCAGGGAGATGGACATGTGTACCCAACACAGGCCCAGACCCACAGGAGAGACTCAAGAACATTGGTTTAATCCAAGCCATGCTTGTCTAGGATGTGTTCAGTTAAGATTCCAATCTGGACTCTGTGGCTGGCTACACCACACCCAGCCCCTTACCTTGTCCCTCTCGGTCTCCTTCCCCACCAAGACCTGATCCTCACAGTTGGTCAGTCTTTCTAAAGTGCCCCTTACCCCACAGGGCACCCTAGGCCTTTTCAAGGCTTGTCCAGGAGCCTCAGATCTATTGTGTTGTTGGTAGATCAGTATGTTTCAAATCAACCAGACCCAACACTCTCTGTGTACGGGAGTTACAAAATATATTTGTTATAAACAGAGGGTGTACCTACCTACGCATATAATTTTTTCACAAAGCAATACAGTGACCTAATTTTAAAAGTGAAAGCCGGGATTGTAAAATCATACATGAGGCTGGCAGAGACATGAACTCACAATGGATAGGTAGGTTTTTTTAAGAGAAAACAATAATTATTTGAATATCGTGGTCCCTTTTCCTTTATAGCTGACATTTGAAAAAAGGGCTAAGTCAGGAATCTTTGTACCACTACCTACAATCGTTGTAAACGGGAAGGCACACCAGTATGTTGTGGTGTCCCAGGGACTCAATTACTCAAGTACTATGTCAGCAGCAGTGCCGCGGGTGATGTGATTTTCCAGAATGGTAGATTATGAGTTGTAAAGTTCCAGGCAAGGTAACACAACTCACATGCAATTTTCCACATGGTGGCTGCGCTCCAGGAAGCGTCTATAAGAAAACCATGGGGTTTTGGGGGGAGCTGGAGGGGGGGGAGAGAGAGCATGGGTGAGGTGGGGGGCATGCAGGAGCAGGGGAGGGGCAGAGAGAGACGGAAAGAGAGAATCCCAAGCAGGCTCCATGCTGTCAGTGCAGAACCCAACATGGGGCTTGATCTCATGAACTGTGAGGTGAAATCAAAAGTTGGATGTTCAGTTGACCAAGTCACCCAGGCGCCCCTAATAAAAACATGCTTTCAAGGAAATCTACTTCTCATATGAAAGTGAGATTGGGTTTTTGGCTCATGTGACCACGATCTGATCTTTTACCTACATGAACATTCTGGCAAAATGTTAAAAAGATGTGTAGGACTCAGGGGCAATCCTTCACTGCGAGGGGCTGCCCTTGCCATGTCTGAATGCCAGGGGAGCTAACCTCATCGTGTGACAAGCAAAACTTTGTAAATTTGCAGGATGCACCCTTGAAAGCGGAGCCGACCCACTGAGGCCTGGTACTGTAGACTGAGGATAGGAACGCACTTGAGCACCAGCCTCATTTTATTATCTGTGGCCAGGTATCTGTCAGGCTAGAAGGGACTTGAGCACTGACCAGGCCCAGCCCTCCCAGGTAGCACTGCACGTCAGAATCTCCAAGAACCTTTCCAAAATCCACATATCAGGGCTTTCCTGCAGACCCAGTGAATGAGGGGTGGGGCCCGGACATCTGTATTTTGAACACTCCCAGATAAGAGCTGCCAAGTTCTACCCATTCTCATCAGTTTCTGTGCCTCGGTCCCACAGCTAGTGGAGGCTGAACCTAGAATTCCTGACATCCCATCTCCAGGAGCCCAGCCTCCGGAAATGTGATGAAATGTATGGGTTCTTGTGCCAGCTTTGGGACTCAGGCGCTGGGTGCCCTTGGGCAAACCGTTTCCCCTCTCTGGGTCTCAGTGTCCTCACCTCAAAACTGGGCATGGAGGGGAAGCTGCACTCCAACTCTGGCCATCTAGAATTCTCTATGCCTCTCTTGGGTTCTAGTTCCCAGAAGCCTCTGTGTGGAACTCCACCTCTCTGTGCCCAGGTTCCCAGGAAGGGCCGTGGATCACACAGCTATTTGGTGTCTGTCTCAGTCCCATGCTGAGGGTGAGCAGTGTGGCCAGGATGCCCCCTCCTCCTCTCCCACCAGTGTTGACCCAGATAGGATGCAATGAAGAAGTCCAGGTGATATAAGTCCCGTGTAAACAGAGGACTAAGGGGGTAATTATGAACATTGGCCCATGGTTACTCCTTTCCTGGCCCTGCAGAACCAGTTCCCAGACTGACTCACCCCCAGGCTGAGCTCGGGGTCAGCGGATGAGGGGAGACATCCATCTCCACCAGCAGATTAAAACCTTGGTGGTTAAAAATGGAGTTAAAATAATTTTCTCCAGTAGGTTTTTTTTTTAAATAATGTTTATTTCTTTTTGAGCGCATGCACGAGAGAGAGAGAGAGAGAGAGAGAGAGCAGGGTGGAGCAGAGAGAGACAGAGACACAGAATCTGAAGCAGGCTCCAGGCTCCGAGCTGACAGCACAGAGTCTGATGCGGGGCTCCAACCCACAAACCAAGAGATCGTGACCTGAGCTGAAGTTGGAGGCTTCGCCAACTGAGCCACCCAGGTGTCCCTCTCTAGTAAGTTTTTTAAAAGCTAAGGGCAGTCCTTCTCCATGCCCAGGGGAGTTGAGCTGGCTGAGGGATCAAGGAAAGCTTGAGCCGAGCGCACAGGGTGAGCATGTTAACCAGACAGAGACGAACAAGCAGAGTGCTCTGGCCGAGGGCACTGTATGTGTCAAGGCCCAGTGGCAGGGACAGAAAGGCCAGTGTGGCCAGAGAGACAAGACGAAGAGGGACGAGAGGGAGAGGCGGCGGCCTGCGTAGGTCAGTAAGGACAGCACACCTTCAGGGGCCCAAGCAGGTGAAGTGACGGCCTCAGGCTCATTCATCCATTCATTCATTCACTCAAATGCTAAGTGGCAGTATCCTGGGGCGGGGGGGGGGGGGGGGTGCGGTGTAGGGGGGGTTGTATCATTGAACAAACCAAAGATCCCTTTCCTAGTATGACTTAATGTCTAGTGGAAGGAGTCAGACAAATAAATGTAGTAAGTAAACCACAAGAGTTCAGTAGAAAGTGCCAGGACGATGCAAAGAAAATAAATAAAATAAGAGCTGTGTGTGGGAAACAGAAACGCAGGGCATGGGTGTTACAGTTGTAAACACAACGGTAGAATAGGCCCAACGTTTCCATTTTTCCAGCTAGGTTATAAATCCAGATTTTTTGGTGAAATCTTTCCATGTTAAAATCGTGGTGTCCTCGGAGCCTGCTGGAGCCGGCAGTACTTTCTTCCCCTTGCTAGGGCCGCTTCAGTGCCTTCCGTTAAACAATGCGAACAGTTTCAGCACCCCGAGAGACAGAGCCCAGTGAAAGGGCTTGTCACCGCCCCGAAGAAGCCACCTTCAGAGGCTACCAGTGATGCCCTCAGCCTTGTATGGAGAGCTTTTCCCGTTTTCTCAGGGGCCCAAGCGATTCCGAAGTCCCTTTTCCTTGCGGCAGACCCAGGGGAGCTGGTGGGAGCCCGCTGCTCACCCAGGCTCTGTCGGAAAGACCGTTGCTCTGTAGAAGATGCCCTCCTTGGAGCAGAAATGACGCACCCAATGCTGACACCCAAACACACTCCTGACCCCTCTGGGCACTGGGGAGACAGACAGATGGCTCTTTATTCTCCGTCAGCAACAGGAAATGGCATGAATTCCAGACAAAAAGAGCTAAAAAAAAAAAAAAAAGCTGTAGGACCATGTCATTTTCTTGCTGCAATTTCCAGAAATCGTCTTGTGACCATGATGTAACCTGCTGAATCACCCTGGTTTGTTAATTTCATCTTTCCACCCCCTGAGAGAGAGAGAGAGAGAGAGTCTGTAGTTGTATGGTAATTGTCAAGAGATCTAAAAGGCCTTTAAAGGAACTCCCAGAACTTTGGGCAACTTATTCCAATGTTCTGAAGTTCTGTCTTTTAATCAAAATATACCCTTATGGATAGACACGTCCGCAAATCAGAGTCAAGCTCCGTGAATCTTCGGGGAGTTGACAGCCGTGTTCAGCACCTATACTAAGAAACAAAGCCTTGTAAATTCACTTGTTTTTTAAATGAAAGCAACTGAGGCTGGGTGCAAATGTTCAGCTTCCTGTCTGAGACCACAGGGGTCTGTAGGATGCAGTGTTTTGATCTTTCTACAAATATCAGCTAGCAGCCATTGAAGTCATTTTAATCAGGGGGCTGGTTGTATCACATTTGGGTCTTAAATCAGTCCCTCTGCATGCTAAGGAGAATGGCTAGGTGCAGGTGCAAATGGGCAGACTACTTCCAAGGCTTCTGAGTTCATCTAGGCAAAGACTAGAGATGGTTCTAGGGAAGAACCAGAGTCAGCAGAGGATGCCGGGGCCAGAGCCCAGGCTATGTGCAAAGCACTTACCTGGTAAGTCTTCCATGAATGGCAGCCCATAGCCATGATCATCTATCAGTAGACATACTGATCTATCTGTGAGTTAGCTTGTGTCTGGGGAAGATGGGTGCTTGGACAGATGAGGTCACACCGGAGTGAGGTGGGCTCCTAAGCCAGTATAACAGAGGCCCTTCTGAAGGGAGAGATTTGGACACAGACATGCACACAGGGAAAATGCCGTGAAAAGATAAAGACAGAGGTTGAGTTGATGCTTTTCCAGCCCGAACACCACCAAAGAGTGCCAGCAAACAACTAGTAGAGGGGAGAGGCACGGGACGGAGTCTTCCTCAGCACTTAGAAGGAGCCAGTGCTCCTGACAGCTTGAGCTCAGATTTCTAGTCTCCAGAACCAGGAGACACTTTCTGTCATTCGAGCCACACAGTTTCTGGTCCCTTGTTACAGCCCTAGCGAATTAATACGCTGAGATTCCCAAACTCACTTCAAACTTTGGTGGGTTGACACAGGGAGAATGGGAAGGGCAGGGTGACCTGTCCAATCCCAGTAACCTCATGTCCCCTCTGAGCGAATGTGTCAGGGCAATGGTTGGAGACGGGGAGCCCCCAGTACCCCTGGGGCCCACCGTTACCTGGCAGGCAGAAGCAGCCTGAAGCTAATCCTTAAGGCGACTGCTACATTTTGTTTGGGGATGTACCCCAGCACTCGCCACTTCCGAATGTCGCAGGAGGCACTGCAAAGGAAACCACTCACTGGGACAGAGTTCAAATGCCCACTCTTACTAACCATTCTGCATGTATCTCAAGAATTGCAAAAATGTAAACTATTTCCATTGGCTGCCCTTCAAACACCAAACTCAAGTCTCCCTGGTTCTTGAGTCACAGGAGCGCCAATTAAACTCATTTCATTTTAATATTCTTACATTCTCCAGTAAACAAACCATTCCAGTCCTTTAAAGCGAGTTGTTTATAACTAACAGACCTACTCTCCACCAGAGCTATCCCCCTCCAGGGAAGCCTGACGAAGTTTTTAGCTGGGAACAGAAAGCCCTGAGGGGATTTTCCAATGTTGTCTCAGGACACAACCTTACAGCCATGAAGACAAGTCAAAACCAAGGTCTCCAGGCAGAGAATCAGTTACAGTATATGCATGAACAATGGTCAGCAGAGGTTGCTGAGGTCAGAGCCCAGGCTGTGTGGAAAGCACGTACCCGGTAAGGCTTCCATAAATGGCAGCCTGTAGCAATAATCATCCATCAATAGCTGTACTGATCTATCTGTGATTTAGCTTACATCTGGAGAAGATGATGTCATATGGAAGGACCATACAAAGCTCAGGGAACAAAATGCTCTTCTTGAACTTGGCCCACAAGGCCCCTTATGATCAGCCTCTGCTTCTCTTCACCTTCATCTCTCCCATTCCTACCTCACACTAAGACTTTATTTCCCAGACACAGAGTGACCATATAGCTTATCATCCCACCTGGGACACTTTGGGGACTCGAGGACATGTAAGTTTTCTGGGACAACAGGTGTAAACTGAACTGTCTTGCCTGATCTGGGACTTCTGGTCTCCTCAGCCGTGGGGAACTACTTAGAATTCCTGCAACATGCCATAGGCTCTTGTATCCTCAGACCTTTGCATATCCTCTCCTCTTCCTGGAGCTTCTCTCTTTCCTGGTCTACTTGGGACACAGTCTATGACCCACTCCTCTGTGGAGTCTTCCCCAAGACTCTTAGGGGGCTTGGGCTCTCCTTCCCTGTGTCTCCACTGTCCCCAGCACTTATCACATTCTATATTCATTTCCCTGACTCCTCACAAGACCTGTACCCTCCTTTTTAAAAGTGTATTTATTTTGGGAGAGAGAGCAAGTGCATGTGTGAGCATGAGCAGGGGATGGGCAGAGAGAGAGGGTGAGAGAGAATCCCAGGCAGGCTCTGTGCTGTCAGCACAGATCCAGGTGAGGGGTTCAAACTCATCAACTATGATATCATGACCTGAGCTTGAAATCGAGAGATGGATGCCTAACCGACTGAGCCCCCCAGGCACCCCCAAGACCTGTAACCCCTTGGAGACAAGTATTATGTCTTTTCATCTGTGCATGCTACACCATCCATGGTGTAGGCCCTCAATATGTATCTAGTATATGATTTGATAAATAGCCTGGACAAGAAGTAGATGTGTCCACTGACTTCAATTGTCTGAAGGGTTGTGATTACAAAGAAGACCTAGACCTGCTTTATGAGACCATAAGGGAAGAAAATGAATACTAACTGGAAGCCTCATGGAAATATATTTCAGCTCAATATTAAGAAGAGCTTCGCTGCCCCACAGGACTGCACAAAATGAACAGGGAGCTTTGAGCAGTAGAGAGCTCACTGTCACTAGAGCTATTTTTTTTTTTTTTTTTTTTTTTTTACTAGAGCTATTTTATTGACAAATTCTAGCAGACACTTGGTAGGAATTTTGAAGCAAGGATTTGGGTCTGTAATGGGTGAATGGCCGAATCACTACCTTATCCTCTATGATTCATCCATTCATTTATTCAACTCGTATTTACTGCGCACCAGGGATTGCACCAAGAACTCAATGAAATCGCACAGAACAAACACACCCATGTAACCGATGTGCAGAGCGGGGGCTGATGCGGGCTGGTGAACGAGGCGAACTTGGCCTCCGATCTGGCGGAGCTCACGGGTTTGCAGAAGAAATATACGTCATTGAATGAATTACTGGGTGTCAGAAGGGAGTGTGAGGGAACAACTTGGGGTGGGAGTCAGAGAGACACTTGCAAAGGGATGAACGTAGGAAGCTTGTGTGGCTCTGTGACCTTAGACGTCTCTAGAAGACTGGGGTCTTCTCTCTTCTGTGATGCCTGCTCTTCCAGTTGGGTGACCTCCCTGAGCGCTGGCCTCGGCCAGTCTATACCTGTCAGCTCCAGAGCGGTGAGTCGTGCTCAGCTGACAGGTAACCAGGTAACTTGGATCATCCCAGGGGATCCGTGTGTGGTCCTCAGTTTTGCCCCCTCTCTCCCTCCCTCTTCTCTAGAAGACCACTGGAAAGCTAGTCACACAGGCTTGGGGACAACAGCAACAGGCAATGCCAGGGCAGGTGTACCCCAAGAGCCTGGCTGCTCTCCATTTTCGGGGCAGCCATCAAAGCGCCCAGTGGTACTGGCCATAATCCAGAACTCCATGGACAAAACAGAAAAGACACAGCAGGTGAGCCAAGAGGCATGTGATCATAGGACTTTTGCCCACACCGATGGGGGATAGCACCAGGGTAGCATAGCAGCTATTCATGAAATGTTTGCATGATTTGGGTAAACAATAATTTAAAAAAGAAATACCATGCCTCAAGTCTTCACTGTGGGCCAGGCACTGTGCCGAGTGATTATACATGCATTATCTTATTTATGCATTGAACGGCCCCATAAAGGGCAGAATTATTATGCTTACATTACAGAAGAGGAAACTGAGGCCTAGAGGTTGTCAAAACTTAGCTGAGATCACATAGCTGGGGAATGGCTATGTACTTGCGGCCTCTGTTCTGCAAACCTTACATGGGGATAAATGGAGCATTACTCCAAAAGTAGGTGAGTAAGGCTCTCAGCAGGAGGGGGATCTAAAACTGAGTTCAAGGCCTAAGCCACGTCAAAAGAAAAATAGTGAACCAGAAAAAAAACTGTTTTCTTACTTATGTTACAAAGGGATAACCTCTCTAATATATAAACGCATATATTCACATAAGAAGGACTAACAGAAAAAGTGGATAAAAGATCTGAACAGAAATCACAAAAAATGTACTCAAATAGCACTTATGCATAGGAAAAGATGCTCCATCCGACTCAGGAAATACACATTAAAGCCAAACTAAGGAAGCATCCATCTGCAAACTTGAAAAATGCGTGGGATGCAACTGTTGCGGCCTTAAATGTAGCATGTGTTTGACTAGAAGGAAATCAAAGGTCAATGACTTAAGTATCCCTGTCAAGAAATTACAAAAAGAACACGAACTAGGCCCAAAGAAAGTGGAAGAAGTTTAAGAGGACCAAAAACATTTTAAAAAATGTGTATTTCTAGGGAAAAAAACAACCTCAAAAAATAATAACCCTTGGCAGGATTGATCAAGGAAAAACAAAAGAGAAAGAGAGAAAGAACAAATCCAGTCCAATATCAGGAATGAAAAACCAGGTATCACCATTGCTCCTAGAATAATACAAAGGTACGGCCTATGCTACAAACTTGAAATTGCAGATGTTCTGGAGAAATCCCTCAGAAAATACAAAGAAGCCAACACCGAAATGACAGAGATGTTAGAATTACCTTATGAAGATTTTATAGCGGCCATGATAAAAAAAATATTTGTTTCAAGAAGCACTTAGAAACACACTTAAAATAAAGGAGGCCGGATGGAAAGCTCTAGCAAAGAAATAGAAGCTACGAAGAACACAATGGCAATTTTAGAAACTGTATAGATATTTGTAACACTTGTCACTAAGGACTTCTCTGATCATTAATGTCCTGATCCAAGGGGCTGACTGAGAGAACCCATCTAAATGGATTAGCACAGAGCCTGGCACATAGCAGGTGCTCTGTAAAAGTTGATATTGCTCCTCTTATAACTGAGCCATCCGGGCAGGAGGGCTAAACTTCAAAGCATTTCCAGGCAGACAGACCTTTCTGTGTTGGACGCTCTAAAAAGAAGACTTGAGAAGGGTTGGAATGGCAAGTTTGGTAACAATCTTACAAAGCCATGTTGAAGGCGTTCAGTTCCCTAAGGTATTCCCTTCAGCTATGATCTGCCTGCAGGCCGGGTGTTTGGTTCTGAAGAATACAATGGAAGGGATGGAAGGGGAAGGCTGGCTTTGGTCTCAGCTGCTGCCTCTGCTCCCACAGTGGGAAATCCCCCAAGTGTGCTGGCAGTAGCAGGGAGGGGCTGGGCAGGAGGGAAGAAGTTTTTTCTTTAAACGGTGTCGTTTATCGTAATAGTGGCCTGGATTTCCAGGAGCGTGGAAGAGGGGGCTTGCAGAATGGTTTCAAAGGGGTCACCTCATTCCTGCAGAGACAGGCTCCAGGAAAAGCCATGCTTATAAGGAGACCATTGTGACCTATATGGATGGAGAAACATTTGGGGCAAGGTCAAGATCAGGGACTACCCCACAGTGGTCACCACCCTCAGCTGGGAGGGGCAGAACTTTTGAAAAACCTGGGTTTGCCTCTAGCTTTCCTCCTTCCTTTTCTTCCTTGGAGGAAGAAGACACAGCCTCAGGCACAGGCACTTTCCCTTAGTTTACAGAACCTGTTTGCCCCTGACACAGTGTCTGATCTCATCACACCCATGGGGACTAAGGGATAGATTTTACAGGTGTCCAAACTGAGCCTCAGAACAATCGAGTGAATTACCCAAGGGAGTTCTCAGACTAAAGACTCATCCCACCTATATACCTGTATGTAGTTATAAATCCTGTCTCTAAGGGCGCCTGGGTGGCTCAGTTGGTTAAGCGTTTGCCTTCGGCTCAGGCCATGATCTCACAGTTCGTGAGTTCAACTCCTGCACTGGTCTCTCCACTGTCCGTGCAGAGCCTGCTTCAGATCTTCTGTGCCCCTCTCTCTGCCCCTCCCTTGCTCATGCGCACCTGTTTTCTCTCTTTCTTTCTCAAAAAAAAAAAAAAAAACAACAAACCCTATCTCTGTCAAGACATAATGAGTATTGTTTCTACCATTTTGGAGCATCTCTTATGTGCCAGGCATAAGCCTAGATGTCTTGCTTCCCTAAGCTCATTTGTCCTTCAGAAGAATCCTGGGAGTAGGTGAGGCTACCCCATCTTATAGGCAAATCAGTAGGGGGTCTTACTTAGTGCCTGGCACTGTTGGAAACACTGCAGTATGCATTAAGTCACCCAGTCTCCCCAACAATCCCATGAGAGTACATGTCAATAGCATCTCCATTTCCGAGATATGGGAAATCGTGGGTCAGAGACATCAGCTAATCTGTCGGAGGTCACACAGCCGAGAAGTAGCAGAACGCGTATTCAAACCGAGCCTTCTTACCACCGTTCTGTGTCACTGGCAGCACAGGTGACTCTCCCAAGGTGGGACATCTGACAGAATCTGATCGAAACCCCAGCCCAAATGAAGACCAGAGTCTTCCCACCCAACTGGGCTGCCTAGAGCAGGGCTGGAGGGAAGCTCTGGGTCACTTGGGCAGCCCCCTTCCCTCCGGCTAAGAGTCAGCTGGTTGCAAATCAATCCCCAGAAACGGCACGTGCGGAGGCAGAGCCCGCTGCGGTGGCATCAGACCTGGTGGGGCGGACAAAGCAGGGACCCAGCTCCATCAACCCTCTTTGCCAGCTTCCCTCTCTGTGCCCGCTGCTGGCCCCAGACTCTCGTCACCTCCCCAGACCCCCACTGCAAACACAATGCCGGGGGGAAGGGAACGTGGAGGGGTAAGAGGACCTGGGTGGTGAGGAGAGGGGCCCTGGGGAGCGTGGTTCTGGAGTTGTGGGGAAGGAGTAACCTAGCAACCACCGGCTCGCGTAGTCACAAAGCAGGACAGGCTTGCCCACAGAACCAGCGAGCCTTCCTGGTGACGTGTTCTCTTGCTCCTTTCTGCTCAGGCAGCAGGGACTTCTCGCCCACACGCTGTAGCAGGCACTTGCCTCGGTGAGTCCACGGATCTCTCCAGGGGTGGAAATGGACACTACAGCCCGACAGGGGACCGGCGTGGGGGTGAGGGGGGTTGGCGGAGACAGGAAAGGGACGTTCGGACTCAGGATTGGTGTGAGTGTTCAGACCCCTTGGGCCCAGCTGGCTGGGGCCCTGGGCAGAGAGGGAAGTGAGGGCAGAGGCGGACGCAGTGGGGCCCGTGCTGTCCCGCTCTGGAAAAGCCGGCCTGGCCTGCTGGAGTCCCTGCTGACCTTTCTACAGCAGCTGTGGGTTGCGACCTATTAGTGGCTTATAAAATTTAATGGGTCACATCTAACATTTGCAAAATGAAAACAAGAGATAGGATGAAAATGTCACGGTGCATCGGCTGTAGCAAGGATGAGTGTTGCTTCAGGACGTTCTTGCTTCAGTTTCACGTACACGAAAGTGTGTGCACGTGCACACGTGAATCGGGTCACGACAGAACAATGAGTTTCTTACTAAGAGCTCAGTCAAAAGCATTCGAAAGTCTCGGTTCTAACAAGTCCTTTCTCCTGTAGGCAGATGGGGTTGGGGCTTCCAAATGGCCTCTGCTCAAGCCTGCAGCATGTAAGTGCTCTAGAGCCCAGCCCCCGCCATCGAGGGTGTCCTCGGCTTCCTTGGAAGGACGTTCTGCCAACCGTGTTTCTCTTTGAGAAAAGATCTTGAGACGTCAAGTCAGGACCCCTGGCTCCTTGCTGGGAGACCTCAAGTCTCTCCTTTCGCAGTCTCAGGCAGGGCTGCCCCCCAGTTCCACCCTAGCCGGAGAAGGGTTGGCCCTGGGGATCTCTGGGGTCCCGATCTTGTGACCGAGAGTTCATTTTCAGAATGCGCTGACTTCCCGTTCCAACCCCATCCTCAGCACCTGCAACCCCTGCACTTTGGAGATAGATAAATAGATGATAGATAGATAGATAGATAGATAGATAGATAGATAGATAGACAGATAGAGAGAGAGATAGAGAGATAGAGAGATAGATGATAGATAGATAGATAGATAGATAGACAGACAGATAGAGAGAGAGATAGAGAGATAGAGAGATAGATGATAGATAGATAGATAGATAGATAGATAGATAGATAGATGATAGATCTATACATATGGAAATGTATGTGTATGTCTGTATAGCTATACTCAGATCTATAGATTTAGACTGATCACAATTCTTCAACAACTATCCTCTCTCATCCACTCCACTGATTTAGTTCATTTCATACTATCATGAGCACCAGCAAATGTGCCTCTCAAACCAAGAACTAGAATATCATTAACCCATCTTATGTACTTCCCTCCCATTTCCTACCCCCTCCCTGACTTCCCTCAGAAATAGCCACTAGCTGAATTACTCAGCATTTTCCTGCCCTTTCCCCTCTTATTTTATCACATTTATGCATTTAAATGTTGTTTTTAAAAGGGATCCCAGGCTATGAGGTTTTCTGGGACTTGCTTTCCTGAACTTTGCAATTATTTGTAAGATTCACCTATGTGGTTCAGTGTAGCCGTAGTGCATTTTCATTGCGATATGATGTTCAGCTGACCACATGGAGCAGAGCCCATTGGTCCATTCTTCCGCCATTAGACATTTGGTGTTTTCCGATTTGAACAATGTTTGTCTGAATAGTCTCACAAATAGCCCCATTGCCCTTCACCTGGGTAAATGTCTGGGAGAGGAATTGCTGAGTGGTACAGCATGCAAGCATTCAGTTTCATGAGTTACTGCCAATTTCTCTCCCCCAAGTATCTGTGCCGATTTACAACTCCAATCACCCGTCTGTGAGAGTTCCTGTTATCTACCTTCAACACTAGGCTTAAGCTCGCTGGTCTGTAACTGTTAGAAAGTCCACAATGGCTACAGAGGTGAAGACCCAGTTGGCTGAACATCCACTGATGAGGTAGGACCCCAGGTGCCCACCCTGCTGACCAGAGGGGAGGTGGGGGCAGGGTAAGGTGGGAGACAAGCGTGGTCTGGGGGAACTCAACTGACCGAGGGGCCAATAGAGGTAGTCCTTCCTCACCCTCTGCTGCCATCAGCCCGGCCCCCCGTGGGTTCTCAGAGCTGAGTTAGCACAGGTCATGTGCGGGATCCCTCCCTGGGGAGGGAAAGGACCTGGTGGCAGGGGGTAGAAGCACCGAGTGCAAGCATTCCTGGGTTTTTTTTTTTTTTAAAAGGTGACTCCCTCTGTCAGTTGGGATAAGGGAGACCAAGTAACTGCACCTTTCAGAAAAGGTTTGCTTTATTTCTTTAAGTCCCAGATCCCTTAGAGGCCACTGGAGGACAGCACGGAAAACTCGGGGGCCTGGTCAGCGAAGTCCTCAGAGGGTCCCGGGGCAGAGAGCCTTGCTTAGCATATCCAGAGTCCATCTGTTCTCCAGAGGGACTCCCTCCAGCCAGGGCCACCGGGAGAAGGGAGTGCAGACAGCATGCAGGCAGGTGCTCCCAGCCGGGGATCCTTGCTGGACTGACCTTGAGCTCCTCCTTCAGAGGCAGGGCCCAGCACCGTTGGGAGAGGGAAGGGGTGCAGGGTGGAGGACAGACAACCTGAGAAGCTTGTCTCCAGTGAAGCCAAGCCAGAGCTTGACTCTTCCCTGTGGCGTCGCAGCTCTGCCCCCATCAGCTCCGCATCGCCTGGGAGGGGCCCCCACCGCAAAGGACTCGCTGGCGTGGTCTGGCCTTGCCACTCCAGATTTGGCCCTTGGACGCTGATTCTGGGCCAAGTCTGCCTGGAGGGTACAGGGCCGGGGGTGGGGGGGCGGCGCTGCATATAGCTGGCTTCCCCTGGGCTGCCAACAGTTGGTTTGGGGAGAGGCCCTTGCTGCGTCGGCCCCATGCCCCTGGAGGTGCTCCATCCCAGGTATTTGGAGGACTAGGTGGGTCTGTGCTTCTTTTTCTGGCTTTAGAGATGGTTTCTGAGAGAAAGCTGAGATCTTGGGAGATTCATCTGAGTTCTCTCAAGTAGATCCTAGCTCCCTGAGAAAGCAGCTTAGGAAGACAGAAGGCTCCCTGAGGCTGGATTGCACCAGTTGGGAAAGGACACGGGGGGAGGCCTGGCTTCGGGTGCCACGGGGGTAGAAGCGAGATCCTGGAAACCGATTTCAGCATGTCTCAGGACTAGACTCCATCTAAGCACTGAGCCCTGAGGGTGGGTGGGGGCCGCTGCCAGGAGGCTCCATTAGCTTCTCCTTGACCTTCTCCTTCAATCCAAGGGTTGAGCTGAAGCCTGAAAAGAAGTTAAAGCACCGGCCACGGAGCCACGGGAACAGCAGGCCACAGAAAGAACTGATGATCCCGGGGATTGTGGAGTTTCAGCTGATCCAAGCGGCACTGAGGACCCCCAAGCCCCCAACCCCTGCGGCCTACCGCTTCGGCCGCCTCAGCCACCACTCCTTCTTCTCCCGGCACCACCCCCACCCACAACGCGTGACCCACATCCAAGGTAGGCCTGGGGGATGTCAGGGCCTGGCTGAAGGTGATGGGCTGGTCTTGAAAACTGGGAACGGAGGGCCCCAGCCCCTGTTTCCGAGCTGGGGCCCAGAGACGATGGGGATTTGGGCAGGGCCACAGAGCTGCCTGGCCACTGGCAAGCACTTGGTCAGGTGAAGACTTGACCTGTGGGGCAGACTTCCAGGGCAGACTGAGTAGTCCTACAGGAATTCTCTCATTGCTGATTCTGCCATGTTACAAGTCAGAGAAAGGGACGCATGTTCTGCCCCGGCACTGTACTCTGTTCTCTAACTCAGGCCAATTCACCCACTTAGCCATCCATTCATCAAGTATCTATCCGTGTGAACTACAGGTCAGGCACATATTTTAAGCCCTGGAGATACCATAGGATAAGACAGTCCCTGCCCTCATGGAGCTGACTCTGACGGGGAAGAATAGGAAATAGATAAGGTGGCGGGGTGTGGTAAGTGCCAAGGCTCTAGAGGGGAGGAAGCCTGATCAGTAGCCCGGGATTTGAGCAAAGAACTAAAGCAGAGAGGACACGAACCATGTGGATACTGGGGGAAGAATGTCCCAGGGGGGATAGCATGTTCAAAGGCCCTGAGGCATGTATCCTGATTCTGCTGGAGGAACGGCAAGGAAGCCAGTGTGGCTGGAACGGAGTAAGGAGGGGTAGAAGGGAGCTACACCAGAGAGATGGGGGGGGGTCCGGATCATGTGGGCCTTAGAGGTCACCCCAGTTACCATTAAACCATTTATCTCGCTGAGTCAGTGGGAGCCATCGGAAGGTGGAAGACAAAGAAGTGACAGGACCTCCTGGCCTCTGTCTGGATGGTGGTGTAGACCAAGGAGAAAGCAGTGGGTGAGTTAGTGGCCCTGCTCTAGAGAGACACAGAGAAACGGTCAACAAGATTTGCAGGTTGGTTAAAAATCAGCGGGAAGGGCAGAGGGGAGTCAAGGCTGACCCCCAGGTGCTGGGCCTCAGTGACTAGAAACCCGGAATCAGACAAAAAAGCCTGAAGCCAGCGCAGGGCAGGGAAGGAGTGGGGAATTGGGTCCAGGATGTGGGAGGTGTGAGATGCCAGGTAACTTTCAGGCTTGGGGGTGGAAGGGCCTGGAGTCCAGGCGAGAGATCTCAACGTCTCCGCCATTCACGGAGGGAAGGCATTTGAAGTCGCAGGCCTACATGGGTGATGCAGGAGAGGAGTGTGGATTCAGGAGAGGAGAGCTTGGGCACGAAGCCCAGGGACCCCGAGGCTGAGGAGGCGAGAAGATAGGTGAGAAGGAACAGAGGAGGTGAGGAGCAGCCGGCACGTTAGGAGGGACCAGGAGAGCGAGGAGCCCTGGGGCCAAAAGGAAAGTGTTTCAGGAAGGAGAGAGCAAGCCAGCATGCTGAGTCCTAACCGGTCTGGTCCTCAAAGCTTCCCTATGTAACGGCTACATGCGGTCACACAGACCCTAAGCCAGAAGGATCCTCGTGTGTAAACGGCTCACCACCACCTCCAGACCGTCCTGCACAGGCTGACAGATGTCAAAGCGTTTTAGCCAGAGAGTGTGGCTAAATCTTGTTCCCTACGATCTGAGGGCTCCAGGCACCTCTAGTCACAGACTGTGGCTTCATGCCCCGCCCCCATGTCCTCTTTTTTAAGGTGCCTACCTCTAGTTCTGTCATAGAAAATAAAAAGGACCCCAGAACTAGGGTCCCAGGAAGACTGGGTTCCTATCTCTTCTCTGCCTGACTTGCTGGGTGACCCCAGGCCCGGCCCATCACCGTCCGTTCCCAGTGTTCTCCTGGGTAAGGTGTCCGCGGCTGCGGGGCCCGCACAGCTCCAGTGGTCTGTGGGCTCGTGGTTACTGGAAGAAGTGGTGGCCATGCTCCCCCTGCCCACCCGCCGCCTCCTGGCCTCCCGGCGCTCCTGCGGGCCACCCAGATCCTCCATCCCACAGCCTCTAACCCTTCGCAGATCTCACCGGGAAGCCCGTCTGTGTTGTCAGAGACAACTTCTCTCTGGCCCCCTTGCCTCAAGCCACACTCTTATCCTGCTGCCTGACGGGGATGCCCACCATCTCTGTCCCCATCGGAGACCCGCAGTCCAATCGGGACCCTCGGCTTTCCTATGGTGGGTACTTGGGCAGGTGCCTGGGAAGGAAAGGACCAGTGCTCCTGGGTCAGTGGGGTCCGGGGGGACACCCTAGATTTTTCCACATTTCCTCAGGCAGCAGCATCTGCGTTGTAGCCCTCCGCCCAGGTCCTCAGAAATGTGGTCCTTACTCAGGTGTGAGGTGTAGGAGGAGTTATCACAGAGGACAGGCGGCTTAGGGCACCAGTGACTTCCAGCTACAGACAGGAATGATGTAGGAAATACTGAGGAGCTTGTGTGTCCAGACACCAGCCAGTCAGAGCCATCCAGCCAGACGTGGAGCTGGAGCAAAAGCTTCCTGGAGGCCTCTGCCCTGCCCTGCCCAGCCTGGCCCTTCTGTAAGGGCAAAGGGAAAGCCCACAGGTGGGGGAGGGGCAGGGAGAGCCCCTGGGGAGGAACCAGGACAGCTGTGCAGGACAGAGAGGCTTGGGAGGCTTCGGCAGGACCAGTCCAATATCTGAGTGACCGGCACAGCGCAGCAACTGAGCCAGCCTCGGTGCTGGCCTCCGCTTCCCAGAAGAGGCCAAGCTAGATTAAACCCCATGCATCTCGGCCCCTGTAGCCGAGTATCTCCAGCACCTCCCAGGGAGGCCACAGCCTAGGATATCAACTTCGGCCCCCCAGTAGTGCCCACACGCACCTACCGGGGTTGGGGATTCCCGCTCTTTCCCTGTAAGATACAGGCCAGAAGCCTGGGGCAGCGAGCAGACTCTTCCCACCCCACCCCCCACAGTCCTCCCCACGCCGGGTCCCACAGGGAGGGCAAAGAGGAGGACCCCAGGTATCAGCTGGCAATGCCTTGTCCCCTCGTCCCAGAGGCCTGGAAGAAGGAATTGAAGAATCTGGCTTCTCGGGTGGCCGTCTTCACCAAGGAAAGTGAGCTCAAGAGCAAAAAGGTGGGTGCAGAACGAAGGAGCTGTCTGGGAAGGGATGCGAAGGGGCTGTCCGTTTGTAACAAATGTTCTCCCAAGTAGGTCCCACCTAACGGCAGTAGAGAGGCGCACTGTTGGCACGAGAGAAGGGGCGGCACACCACCGGCGGGAGGGGGAGGGTCCCAGCCAGAGCTCAGATGAGAGATGGTAGCCAGGTGGAAAAATCCAAGAAGGGCTCATAACAGAGGTGGGATGTTTAGAGCCTGACAGGGGAGGCATTCCTAGGGGAGACACGCGGCTCATAGGCTCAGGAGCTGGGGAATGCAGGACATCTTTAGAGAGTGGGGCTGAAGTCCAGGGAACTCAAGTGGACAGCCTGTCAGGGGGAAGGTGGCAAGGGGCTGACTTTGAATGTGAGCAAGAAGAGTTGTTTTTAGTTTCTCAACTTAGTGGAGCGTCAGATCTCCTAAGGAGTGGAGACGCACTGAAGGATTTCAAACAAGATGGGGTAACCTCATGGACGCTATTTGCTGGTAATCCAGTAAGGCAATTGGGAGGCAGGTGAAGGTAGTTGGAACTGGACTTAGGACAGATCTGGCCTTTGGGGACAGTCTTGTCCAGCTCTTGTCTTTTATTTTTTTTAAGGTTTATTTATTTTGAGAGAGAGAGAAAGAGAGAGAGGGGAAGGGGAAGGGGCAGAGAGAAAGGGAGAAAGAGAATCCCAAGCAGGCTCTGCACCACCAGCGCAGAGCCCAACATGGGATGCAATCTCATGAACCGTGAGATCATGACCTGAGTTGAAACAAACCAACTGAGCTCCCCAGGCGCCCCCTGCCCTTGCCTGGGGCAGCAGAGTTCTCATCCCTGCCTTGCAGCTAACTCACTGCAGAGCTCACTTGCAACTCGGCTAGGCTGTCTAGGTCTCACTTTTCTTACCTTTAAAATGGGAAGAAAGGGGGCGCCCGGGTGGCTTAGTTGGTTAAGCGTCCGACTTTCGCTCAGGTCATGACCGCGCGGTTCGTGGGTTCGAGCCCCGAGTCGGTCTCTGTGCTGACTGCCAGCTCAGAGCCTCGAGCCTGTTTCAGAGTCTGTCACTCCCTCTCTCTCTGACCCTCCCCTGCTCATGCTGTCTCTCTCTCTCCTAGAAATAAGTGAAATATTAAAAAAAATTTTTTTTAAATAAATAAAATGGGAAGAAGGATACTACCAGTCTCAACTGGGATTGCAGGGGTAGGAGGTTCCAGGCCTTGTACCCGCAGGCCTGGCTCAGGAGGGTTTCCCAGGGCAACGAAAGGATGCCAAGCTCTGGGGAAAGACCTTGGGGCAGTGGAGCTAGGAGTTCGGGTAGGGGATGGGGGCCTTGACCCACGATGGGCCTGGGGGTTTGGGCAGGGAGGGTCTACCGAGGAGGAAGTCCTATGAGGACCTCAGAGGACCACCAGGGCCTCCAGCATTCAAGAAGTTTCAGGAGGAAGAGCTTTGGCTATAACCGATGGGCTCCTGGCTGGGGAGAAGGGTCTAGAACAGCCTGGGGCTAGCCTGGCCATCTTCACAGGTCCTTGCAAAGCTGTGACGCTGGAATTCCAGGAGAGGAGGGATGGGGCCCTGCAGGTGTGACGGGGCCTCCTTCTCTTCTGCTCTGGCTTCTTCCTTGAGCCTGTCTCTCTGTCTCTCTCTGTCTCTCACTGCCTGGAGTCTCTGGCTACTTTGTTCCCAGCAGAAGGAGGAGGCTCAGCGGGAGCAGGGGGCAAAATACTCAGCTGAGACTGGGAGGCTCATCCCCACTTCCACCCAAGCCATTGGCCGCCGCCACCACTCCCGCCAGGGCCCACGGATTTATCCTTCTGGCAAAGATGGGGGAGTGGAGACCTTCACCCTGCAGGATCAGGAGCTGCTGGTGAGGCCCTGGGAAGGCTGGGGGCTCCAGGCCCAACCGAGGCCTCGTCTTGAGGGCTGAGAAGGTGGTGGGTGCTGCTCCCCGGCTCCCAGCAGTCCCAGCCAGGATGCTTACAAACTGCATTCGAGTGTGGCCTCTCCCAGAGATACTTGTACCTGAGGCTGTGAGCCCCGGAAACTCCAGACCTGGGAGTCAGGAGCCTGGACCCCCTCCCCGGCTGCCTCCAGGTTTCTGTGTGAGCCTTCCCCCATCATGGAAGGCCTTCCTCCTCGGGGCTTTAGTTCCAGAATCCACCCCAGCTGGGAGTGGGAAGGAACATGTTGTCCCGAGGGGTTGCTCCAGCCATGGCGCTGGAGGAGTTCAGGGAGGGAGTGACATACACAAGGAGAGCAGGGTCCTGGTGGGCGTGTCTCCAGCCCACGCCCTGGGATTTTGGTCTGAACCACGGAAGCACAAACCCACTGCCTCCGACTGCAAGTGTCCCCATCGAGGCCTGGGGTGAGTGCAGGACTGAGTCGGCTGGGCCAAGGCGATCTGATGGTCCCTTTGAGAATTGCATGCGGATTCTCCAGGAAAGGGTAGACATTGAGCCAGCATCTCGGCGCCCTCCCCTGTCTCTTTGGAAACTTACAAGAGTCCCGTGAGGTGGATAGAGCAGACAGGGCCCGGGATCCCCATTCCACGGATGGGGAGGCTAAGGCCCTGCCAGGTAACAGTCTGCGGCCCAGGTCCCCAGAGAGGGAGCAGCAGAGCTGGGACTAGAACAGTACTTTCTCCACCATAGGGCGGCCTCATCTTGCCTGGAATTAGGTTCTCAGGTCCTGTGGGGAGGGGGCCCAGGGCAGGTAAGTCAGATGCGGAGAACGGAGAAGGGCCCAGGGGCAGACCCAGGGTGGGGTTCACTACAGCAGATGGGTATCTGGGGAGAAGGGGGAAGCCTAGCAGGCACAGGTCTGGGAAGAGCCTTGGCCTGGTTCCCACACCGCCAAGGATGAGGCAGACCTGCCGGGGACTGACGGGGGCCCCTTCAGGTCTGGGAAGACTGACCGGCAAGCACTGAGGGGGCCCCACTTTCCCAGGACTGCAGGGGCTCCACCTCCCACCGAGGGCCCCAGCTCCGGCCGACCATAGCCACAGCGGCCCCCCTAGCTCATCTGACACAGACCTGGATCTTCCCTTGATGACACTTGACTGGAGGACACAAGGGAAAGAGGGCCCCGAAGTGGTAAAGATGCCAGAGGCCCAGGAAACGGCTGAGAGCGAGGCGTGCACGCTGCTCGGAGGGATGGAGCCCCACACCGGGCCACCTGCAGAATCAGCCGGCCCCGGCCCTGAGCCCGCCCTCTGGGATCACCCCGCCTCTTTGCTAGCATCTCCAGACCCTGGGAACTCCAGGGTGGGGAGGCCTGTGTGGGCCCTGAAACCCCCACACCAAAGATTCGGTGTGTTTCTGGCAAGCTCACTGGCCGGCTCTGCCTTTGCCTCCTCAGTAGAGGGACTTTGGGGTACAATCAGCCCACGCAGGGTTTACGAATGACGGGTCCACATACCTGATTCCGAGGCTGCGTTCTGCCACACTCTCCCCGCTGGGTGTCCTTTCAAGCCCTCAGATTCCTCACCTGTCCAGTGAGGAGGTTAAGAATCTCCCTCCAGGACTGGTGGGAGAGAAAGCCCTCCATAAAGTGCAAAGTCACGGGGAAGAGCATCATTGTGAGGGCAGGGACCGTTGCGGGGACCATGTTAGCCAAGCACGTGGCTGTGGGAGGGGGGAGGTCTGTGCTGCTGGCTAGAACATGTCCCCCGGGCACACTGACCCAGGGTCTGTCCTTTTGCCCACAGATCCTGGAGCTCCTCTGTCAAATCCTGCAGACAGATTCCTTGAGCGCTATCCAGCACTGGCTACTGCACGCGCCCCCAAAGGGTGAGGACGCAGCCGTGCCCAGGTCTTTCTGGAAGTGAAGGCTGCCGGGGGCCTTGTTCTCTGGTTCTGCAGGACTTGGGTGTCATTCGGCTCCTCCCCAGGGCCTTCTGCCTGGGCCGCCTCTCCTTTTCTGGAGCCCCAAAAGAACCTTTTCGAGCTGCGCAGCGCCCTCCTCCCTCCTCCTCCTCCCCCCTCTGCAGGATCGCCACGACCCTGCTTCTCGGAGGCTGAGGCGCCTCTGTGCTGACCACCGTCCTCAGTACCTGGAAGGGAGAAGTCCATAGATATACCCAGCAGACACATCCACTCACCCACCACCGTGGGAACACACACACACACACAGACGCAACACGTGCACATAAGCACACAGGCACCTGCTCGTGAACACGTGAATAATGTGCACACACACGCTGGGACTGTGGCTGGAAGGGTTATCAGGGCAGGAGGTTGAGGAGTGATGGCTGAGAGGCAGGGAGGGGGAGGGGCAGGAGGCAGGGGAGGAGGCAGAACCCCGGTGGGCTTTCCAGAGAGGGCCAGAGACAGGTGGGCTGGTGGGCAGGCCAGAGGGGGCCAAGAACAAGTTATACGCATGTGAACGAGTCGTGGGAGAAGGAGGGGGGGGAGGGCTGCACGAGCACAGGAGCCACGAGAGAAGAGGGGACCTAGAGGCAGAGCCAGGCTGGGCAGGGGAGCTGGAGGCCCCGCTTCCAGCCTGTGCCTCGTGGGGACAGGACAGGGTGGGCATAGCCTCTGAGGACCGCGCCCCCTGGCTGTGCTTACAGAGAAAGATTTGGCCCTGGGGCTCCTGCAGACAGCGGTGGCACAGCTCCTTCCTCAGTCCCTAGACTCCATACCGGTAGAAAAACCTCTGGATCAGCTCCAGGAAGGACAAGAGCCATCTCGAGAGAGGCAGCAGCCGCCCTGCAGGTGGGCTTCGCACCCCTCACTGCGGTCCCCAGAATGGTCCTCCCAGGTGAGGCCAGGGGTGGTCCAGAAAAGGGATCCTGGTGCTGGCCACGGCCTGGGCTGCCAGAGCCGGTGCAGGCGGAAGACACCCAGGCCCTTCCTCAGGGACCCTCCAGTCCGGCCCGTGCCAGACCAGACTTCGGCAGCTGGCTGTGGGGGATGCCCAGGGGGTGACCTGTGTCCACTTTAAACACGACGGGCCTGGAGAAGCCACATCTACCCCTCCAGAAGCTCTTGGCCTTTGAGAAGGAAAGCTGACACAGGCCAGCAGAAATACCTTAATGCCGGTGTTAAGTGCCTTGGATGGCTGGAGGAGATAGGGAAAGGGAAGATTAGGGAGGCTCTCGCCAAGCCGGTGAGTAGGGCCTGGGTGTCAGCAACGGAGCTAGCAATAGTGGGTGCACACAGTGCTTGCCTGGCACCACCAGACAGTCTGCATGTTTGTGGTCCCTACAGCCACCCACGGAGGCAGTGTCACCTCCACTTTACACATCAGAGACCTAAGGCTCGGGAACAGTTGAATGGCTGCCCAAAGTCACCCGGTGGGTCAGCAGAAGAGCTGGGATTCAGCCTCTGGCTGGTCTAACTTCTGAGCCCGGCAGCACGCAGATTTGCCAGAGACCTTGTTAAAAATGTCAGTTCCTAGAGATTCTAACACAGCAGGTTGGGGAGGAATATCCAGGGACGCGTTATTTTGACAGATCTCCGGAGCTTTTCTGATCGAGGTTGGGAAACACTACTGGGATAAGTAGCATTTGCAGGGGCAGCCAGGAAGGGGAGGCAGGAACGTGCTCACTCTAGGGGATAAGTGTGGGGTGCTTGCAGCATGGGCGGGGGGAGGGGAGGACGCAGGTGCTTGTGCTCATTAACCTGAAGGCCTGGGTTCTTGCTCTGGCCCGGAACAGGGTGCTCTTTTCCACTTTGAGAGACAAGGGGGAGCACAGGAGGAAGGCAGTCTTCACTATGACCTTGGGCAAGCCACTGCCCATCTGAGGCCTCAGTTTCACCTCTCAAAAACCCCTCTCCCAGAGCCCTAGGCAGGAAAATTACACTGGGTGCGTAAAAAGCTTTGCTTCAGTGCAAAGCTGAAGTCCCCCATCAGGGCAGCTGAAGCTCTGGTTTCTCCACTCACAGGGGAAGGCTTCCCCTCTGCGAGGAAGCAGGGGCCAAGTGAGGGCTGGTGCAGGCTGGTGCGGGGGCCTCCCTTACCTCTCCTGGGGCAGAAGGGCCTTGGTTCCTTGTGGCCACAGCAGGCAATGGAGTCAGAGTTGTCTGTCGGGGTCCCGCTTGCATGGTGCCAGCCAGGGACAGATGCTTTGGGGTTCCCCAGGAAGGGCAGCTCTTGCATCTCCCCGGAGCACTCCCCTCCCCGCCCTGCCCACCCTTCACTCCTCGCATTCCCAGACTTGTCTTTGTGTCGGTTATAGCCAATCCTTGAAGAGGACGAAGACACTGCCTCTACCCAAAGGCGACAAACCCGGTAAGATTCCGTGCAGAAGATCATCCTGGGGGGCTCCCTGAGCCCCACCCTGGCTGTGTATTCCTCAGGTACGGGGGGAGTCAAGAACCCCAGAGGTAAGTCCCTGTCCTAGGAAGCTGCCCATTCCATCCATTCATCGATTCACTCATTCATTTGAGAGAGCTTGCTTAGCAGTGGTGCTCCAGGCTTTGGGGAAGAGTCTAGACAAATTCCTGCTGCTATGAGCTTCTAGCCTCATGAGGAGCGCAGACAACAAATAACCCCCCCCAGGGGGATGGGTGCCACTGGAAAATAAAGCAGGGTAAAATCAGAGACAGGAAGAAGGACCCACTGGGTGGGAAGAGGACTCCTTGGGCTGAACGACAGGCAGGATCCAGCCCTATGTGGGTCTAGGGAGAGCCCAGAAGTAGGGCCCTCACCTGCCTGGTGTGTGCATGAAAGCACAAGCAGGCACAAGCAGGCCAGGGTGGCCGGGGCCTTGTGGTGCAGGACAGTGGTAAGGAAGGAGATGGGACAGGTGGGCAGGGCTGGCCTGCGGTCTCATGTAGAGGACAAAGCCCCAGCGCATCTGCGATTCTCCCCCACTAGACTGTAAGGGGCCCTACGTGCCCGGCTGAGCGTTTGGCACAGAGAAGGCACTCCCTGGGTGTTTGCTCCCTGGATGTAGACAGAAGAGGCGGTGGTGAAGCTCAGAGAAGGGACTCGGCTCCTCCCGGGTCACCAGCAGAGCCCAGAGCAGAAGCTGGGCTTGACCCACATCTGCCTGGAGAAGAAGTCCACCTGGGTCTCCAGGGCAGCTCCCAAGTCGGGACCTGTCCCCCTCCTTGTCGTCTCCTGATCGATGTCTTCCCTCCTCCCAGAGTATATTGGGAAAGCCCAGGTCCTCCGAATGCATTCAAGCCAGAACGCAACAGAGGAACCGTCAAAGCCAAAGGCAGAATGCTGAGGAGTGCAAGCTGCTCTACCTGCCCCGTTCAAGAGCAGCCCCCAGGTTCAAGGTTGCTCCCAACCATACCACCGCAACAGCAACCCCGACTTTGCTATCACAAGGAGCCTATTAAAAATCTGCCTTCCCTTTAAGAGGACAATTCCATGCCTACTCTCAGTAGTAGGTCTGCGCCCCACTCCCTGGAAGAAAGGCCAAGTAGAATCACTCATGAGGGGCTCACCATGTTCTATGTTCCTGAGAGCTGAAAGGTGGCCCAAGAAAGAGGCTCTGTCCTTCCCGAGCCAAGACATACAGTGCTCTGGGTAGGTTAGCATAGAGGCCAAGAACCCACAGCCCTCCATAAAGTAATACCAATACCTCCATCAGTCCCAACCGTTGAGTTCGACCAGGCTGTGTGGGGGCGGGGATCTAGACAAGAGATCGTGGTGAACACTGTGTGAGCACATTTTATATGCGGCACCATATTTGATTCTCCCAAAAACTCTGTGAGGTTCACTATTAATATCATCACTCCCGTTTTCTAGATGAATAAATTGGGGCTCAAACGATTTGTCCAAATCCACACTGTAAGTAGCGGAGCCAGGACCCAAGTCCAGCATGTCTGGCTCAGGAACCCCCGCTCTTCCCCGCTACGCTCTACCGCCTTAGAGCCTCACCAAAGTCTGTGGCTGCAATCCCAGAAGCATAAGCATTAGCAAAAATGGTGGTTGGCAAGATCAAGGAGGAGACATGACCTAATTGTGACCCAGCTGGGGTTTTCCTGTCCCTTATGACCTAGAGAATATGGCCTTTGATCCTCTGGGAAGTCCAGCGTGCTCCTTGAGATTTCTGCAGATTCCCTGGAAAGCCAGGCGTGGAGATATGGGAGGCATTAAGGAGCTACAGTGTAATGATCGCCTGTGGATCAGAGCTCCTACTTCCATTGAATTGGGTCCATGGATCACAGCTCCATCCTATTCTGGCAACACGACTTGACTCCACCTCACAGCAACTCGGACGGGTTGCATCCTTGGGGTTTTTCTCAAATACCCCATTCACACAAAACTTGGCATTGCTGCAGGCTTTGGTCCAGATCAGGGGCTGGATGGAGATTTGCTGTGGACCCAGCCAACAGCCTCACGCCAATATGAAATCGCCTTGCCTTTTTAAAATCCCCTTTCCCACTGCGGACGTTCCCCTGGCGGCAGGATCTTTTCTAACTATGCCGTCTTGCTGTCTTTGTCCTCCCTTGTCTGCACCCCTGCCACGAGGTTGCCTCCAGAAAGCCCACATTCATCTTATTTGCAGTGTTTCCCATTTTTTAAAATCTTGGTAATATCCACAGGGCATAACACTTACCACTTTAACCACATTGCAAGTGTACAGTTGGGTGACGGTTAAGTGCACTCGCGTTGCACAATCATCACCAACCATCTGTCTGCAGAACCCTCTCCACCTTGCAGAACTCAATATCTGTGCCCCATGAAACACTAGCTCCACATCCCCCCTCCTGCCCCCAGCCACCACCTATGAACTGGACTGCTCTAGGTACCTCATATCAGCGGAGTCACAAAGCATTTGTCCTCTTGTGTCGCTGGCTCATTTCACACAGTACGATATCCTCAAGGCTCACCCATGTTGTGGCATGTGTACGAATTTTCTCTCATCTAATAGTTTTGCCGATGCAGTAGTTCAGCTTGCCCCCAGGCCCTATGCCCAGACTCTCCAGCCCCATCAACAGGCTGACCTAGAGGCCTGTTCATGGAATAGGGCCCTTCCTTGCCCCTTGGCAATCTTAGTTATGACAGGCTCTCCCTCCTCCCTTGGGAAGAATTTTTAACAATCCACCTGTAAAATATCCTAGACGATATCTGCTTCCAGAATAAATCATACTTGTTGGCACAAAACACCTGGCTCTTTCAGTAAGCCTCCTGCCTCCCCTTTAACTGTTCGGGAAGTACTGCCGAGAGGTTAATATTTGCCTCTGCAGATTCTTGTCATCGTCTTATTCCAGAGAGTATACCTCTCTCCGGGGATGCTTAGTTGGTCGTTGAGACTTATTTATTTATTTCGCTTCCGCAACTCCCTGCAAAGTGCTTGTATCGCTGCCTGGCCTTTGCACCCATTGTCACTGTGCTTAAAAGACAGGGTGTTCTGGGCCAGGCTTCTCACCCACATCTTTGGAGGGGAGACGGCAAACAGATCTTCCTCTATAGCCCTGTGGTCAATCAGGAGAAAGAGAGAGAAAGGCACAGAGCTGAACCATGCACACATAAAAAAAAAAACAAAAAACCATGCACACATAAAAAAGTGTTCTCTGTGGAAGAGAACACTGTGATCTCTACCAACGGGAAACTGCTATATTGCACAGACGTGGAGGGCCGAGCTGGGCGCGTACAGATGACCTGACCCCTCAACGCTCGTGATGACCTGTAAGGCAGGTGTCATTATCCACATTTTACAGGTGGACAATCTGAGGCTTAGAGCAAAAGTAACAGGAACACATCAAAGTCCACACAGCCAATAAACAGTGGATCGAATGCAGGGCGGTGGGGCTCCTCGGTCAGTGCTCTTTCCTTCTATGCTGCCTTCTTGCAGGCCCCCCACCCCTAGCCTGCTGCTCTCTCATTTCCAGCCACTCACCCACCTTCCTCCTGGTTCCTCTTCCCCCATCGCTCAGATAGGGAGCAAGTCAGGCTTTGTTCTCACTCCTCGACTCTCTTCAAGGTCCCTCAACTGGCCTGAGTCCTGTCTCCAGGTTTTTAGGGAATCACTGCTAATCCTCACGGGGACAGCCAGCAGAGGGCACTTGAAGGTTCCAGACATATCACAAAGCACTGGTCAGAGTTGTCTCTGGCCTTCTTGGGAATGCGAGTGGCATCCAGCCTACCTTCCTCCTCACCTGGGCCCTTAGATCCTATGTGGTGTGGTTTCCAGGGCTGTGCCTCCCAAAGGCTTTGCAGAGTCCTTATACTTAGCTTAGCAGCGCTCCCTGTCTGCGGTGGCTCTGCACACACTTGGGCATCATGGCGTCAGATACCATGGCCACTTCTAGGTCACTCTTAAGTTTCCCTTGGATCCAGACCCTGAGCCTACCCTTTCTCTCTATACTCTGCCTCTCTGCCTGAGGCATGGAGATAGATTTTCCTGTCCAATCTTCTCCCCCGTGGCTCTGGACCCTTCTTGGGATCCAGTTTCCTTAGTCACTGTGGTAGCCACTGTTTGTGCCCGCCCAAGATGTCCCCCACCCTCCTTTCAGGAAATTAGTTCCATCCAACCACCGCACCCCATCCCTGGGCATGGTGACTGGTTCAGGGGTAGGATGAGCATATGACCCAAGCTGGGTCAATCACATGCTGTCCTTGGATTTGGGAGGAGGAGGAGAATTTTGGCTTTTGAGAGGGTGTCATCGCTGAATAGCATCAGTCACACCTGATGTTGCCCCCGACTGTCCCCCATCGTCCCCATTATATAATCCATAAGATTACTTCTTACAGTTGATTTTTATGTACTTTTAACATAAAACTTACCATCTTACCCAATGTCAAGTGTACAGTCCAGTGAAAACACGTGTCTGTTGTGCGGCCGTCTACCCACAGAAAGCTCTTTATCTTGCAAAACAGAAGCTCCGCCCCCATGGGAACTCCCCACCCCCTCCCCACCACCCCTAGCAACCTTCCTTCTACTTTCCATCTCTATAGATTGGATTCTTCCAGGTCCCTCATGTAAGGGGAGCCATACAGTATTTATCCTTTTTGTGAGTGGGTTATTTCCCTCAGCACAACGTCCTCAAGATTCATCCATGTTGTAGCCCACATCAGAATTCCCTTCCTTTTTGAAGCTGAATAATATCCCATTGAACGTACGTGTCACATTTGGTTTATCCATTCATCCATTGGCGGACATTTGGGTTGTGAACATTGTTGCTAAGATGAGTGTGCAAAAGTAGCTGGTTTTTAGGTCACATGGTGAAAGGGACCCTGGACCATCTAAGGCCATACAACTAGAAGGTGAAGGCTCCAGAATCAGAATCCAGATTTGTCAGACTCCAGAGTCACTGACAAGAGCTCTTGGTTCTCAAAATGGAACCATTCTGATACCCCCATCATGAACTCATTAATGGTGTTTCACTATCTGCACTACTCCTAAGGTTTCTTTAAATGTACTTACTTTTTTACTTAAATATTGTTTTGATCTAAGCAATAATACCCGCGGCATCATGTTTTTGACGTGTTCTTTGTAAAAGTTCCTCAAACACATGACGATAGCTAGAAGTGTATCAGAATTGTTCCCCCATGTTCTACCTGAGCCCATCTATCATACTACCAGAGCTACGCTGACCACACCTTGGGAGACATTGGCTAGAACATATTGCAGTTTGAAGATGAAAGACTTGGGACTCCAGCTTAAGGGCACATGTGGGGGGGTCAGCTTCTCCCTGCCCAGTTTGCTGGCTCCACAACCACTCCTCCCCCACTCCACTCCCCGTAAATGGACGAGGATAGGCTGGAGACCCACTTGCAGCAAAGGCAGGGGAAGGTTGTAGCCTCGCTTGGGAGTGCCTTGGAATCCCATTGTTGGATGCCCCTCAGAAGCCCTCTAACAACCTTCCCAGCCCATGGGCAACCTTCACTGGAGCCCCCATGACATGGTATCCAACTTCACCTTGGAGCCATAGTAACAGAGCTCACTACCTTTCCTGGCTTCTCAAACCTCACTTCTGTCCCCAGCCACCAAGATCAAGTCTTTCCTTCTTCCCCTGACTACCTAATTTTGTGCTTGTCAAAGCTCTTTTGTAAGTTTCAATCAGACCACGCCTCCCTTCTAATATTTATACCTTTTTTTCTTGTCTGATCACATTAGCCAATACTTCCAGGGAATAATGATGAATAGTAATGATGACAGTAGGCATTTTAATATTATTTAATAGGAATGCTTGTCATTTGTCATCATTATACATGTTTACCTATGAAGTACATATAAGCTGAAACAATCACATACTCATAAAGTTATGTCAAGAAGTATCCTTCAGTTCTTAAGTGCTTAATCCACACCGGAAACTTAGGAATAGATACTACTGCTGTTCTGACAATTTTACAGACGAGGAGCTGAAGAAAGAAGTAACTTGGTCAAAGTTATACAAGTAATAAGA